CACTCAGGTGACATTTTTGGCAAAGGAAGAGGAAAGGAATTCATAATTCGGTGAATCTTGCAAGACTTTCTAATATTTTTACTTTTTTTTTATAATTTAAAAATTTTAGTAATAATTTCCTTTTCCAGTGCAGAAGAATCCTTATCAGGAAGGTTTTGGGAAGGTGCTCCAAGGCACAAACGGGAGAACTCACTGGAAGTTGGTGCCTTTTTCCAGCTCTCTGCTGCTCTACCTTTGCAATTGTTGATGAATTATTTGCTATACCCATTAACACAAACATCACAGAGTTGCTGCTAGATGAGTTCCAGCCCTCTGCAGGTCAACAGAGGGGATCTCTCAACTGCTGTGTGCTTTTCTGCATAGGTGGGGCGAGCAGGTTTGCCAATTCCATGCTTCGCGAGTGGTGGGGAGGGAGAGCATGCTCTGCTTCTCGGGCTGAAGCACAGGCAGAGCTGGGAAGGGCAGCATCTTCCTGCTCCAGGGGCTCCTGTGGCAGCATGCTGGGAGGGGTAGCTCTGCAATCTCAGTGTGTTGGTGAGAACACCTTTCCTGTCTTCTGTACTCGTGTGTTCCATGAGGTCTGGGAAGAAATCTTTCTCCTGTTTTGAATAAATCCTGTGGAGTCACCGGCCTGGCTTTGGTGAATGGTAAATGTCTTGTCCCCATGGCCCTGGGGCTTTGTAGCAGCCTTGCACCACTGCTGGCACAGCTGGTCCCTGCTTGTTCCAGGGAGCCCTCAGCTCCTGCCCTGCTGCTCCTCCAGCACAGGGGCTGCCTTTCAGCACATCCATCTCTTGGGATGGATTGGATCTGTCAGTGTTTACTAGTTACATACAGGTAAAAAGGTCCAGGTCCTTGCACCACTGCTCATTCCACTAGGCCAGGAATGCAGCTTGGAAAGCATTCCTTTTCGGGAATTCCTGCCGGGGAGGAGGGAGCTTACAGGGGAAACGCCATGAGGGGTTGCTTGGGAGACAGCCACAATAATCCTCTCCCCATCTCTACCCTTGGGTTCTGACAGCCTTACCTCTGTTCCTTGGATCAGGAGGAGGAGGAGGTATCTGCCACAGCAAATTGTCTTCTTTTACTGTGTATTTAGTTGAGATTCAAATAGCTTCTGACTTTTTTCCTAGACTGTTTCATGTGTTAATTCTCAGAACATTATTTCCCACCAACTCCCCCACTGTGGAGACGCTGCCACCCTCCCTGGCTTGGGCTGTGTTATGGGTGGATGGGATGTGGCTTCTGGGGAGCCAGCACAGGCTGCCTGCTGCTCACCTGGGGTCCCAAACCCGCCTGCTCCCTGCATGGCTCCTACAAGGAGACAAAATGTCAAACAGATTCCCCAGATCTCTCAGAACCCTCAGTTACTTAGTGGCAATAGTCTTGCACTGAGCATGGAATTTCAAATGTTATGCTAACAGCTACATCCAACATGTGATTCATTTACAGTCTAAACAGAGTTTTACAGGATTTATGACAGAGCTTAAAATAAGCTAGTGGTAACCCTTTTTCCTTTTTTTCTCTGCCTATGTCGAAATCTAATATAAAGTACAAGTGATGACAAATCTGGTATTTAGAAGAGCCAGGTGTAAGTGGGCAGTAATAGCTAGATTGTAACCAAAGTCTTGTCCTCCTGCAGTCTTCACCATTTCCAGAGTGAGCTGCTTTCTGTCCATGTAGAAAGGGGCAACACTGCCTTTTCCAGTTACCCACTGCAGGACTAAATACTGGGAAGGATGCTCTGTAGTTATATGGGAAAGCTAGAAAATATTTCCAGCTGGAGCCTGGTTTTACCCCTCTTTGGCTTTGCATTTTTAGAGAGCCATGGACATGGGTGGGAAGAGGTTCTCTGGTCAGACCAGAGCCCAGAGGAGGTAATTGCCACTGTCAGCAGTTCATGGTTGAACAAGGATGAGTTTGGATGATGTAGAAGGAATGACAGTGTGTTACTGGCAGGGGAACACTGGACTTCGTTGTCATTAAAGATTTTTCATTGTCCAGGCTGACAAAACTGCCTGTGGGTTTTTGTGGTTTGCTTTCACTAAAGAAGAGGGAAAAAGTCCCAGAAATTCAAACTATATGCACCTGAGTCAACACACCCATCCTAGGTGCCCTAAGAAGAATGGAGTGGGTGAGTGGGAACTAGATCTGACGACACACCAGTAAATCCACAGTGATGGTTAAAAGATACATGCTGGCATCCCCTGAAAAGAAACACAAGCTGCCCCAGCCCTTGTTTCTGTGCATGCACACAGCTGAAGGTGTGGGTACAGGCAGGATGGCTCATCCTCCTCTGCTCTGTGAAGTCTGACACTCTTGCCCAGAGCTGTGGGTGTTTGATTTCATTTGTGAATTGTATCAACCTGGCAGGGAAACTGCAGCACTTGCATCAGGTGATGATACAAGGCACAGTATAGAAGACTTCATTTGGAGCAGATAATTGGTGTGCATGGCTATCCATACCTTAGTTTCTATCCCTGTGCATTTCTAAGAGGTGAAAGTTGGGGATTGTGGGATCACCTGCAGCTCGTGGGCTCCCTGGGAAATGCTGGGAGCAAGCTGAGCCCCAGCTGGCTGTGTGCCTCACTCCAGGAGCTACCGATCAGGACTCCTTTTGTGAAGACAGAACTTGTAAGGAGGAAGACTTGCTTGTTTCTTGCTTGGTGTTGGAAGTGCAGATGAAGGTGAAATTGTCTCTCTGAGCTCTAAGCAAACAGCTGCTTCTCTTTTTGACCTAAACTCAGTGAGGTGCCTAACAGCCTTGTCTTGGGAAAGGTATGGAAAATGGCTTCAGTAGAGAGGAAGATTGGAGGGATCTGGTGTCTCTTGGGACTGATAATGCCCAGATCATGTCATGCACAACTTGTGTGCTGTTTGTGTGCAAGGCTTCTTCCAGGGGATTGTTCTAGAGGGTTGCAAATGTAGCCTGCTCACGGTGTCTCCACTGAGAGGGGAAAGAGCCCTTCCAGGGGCCAGCCTTGGAACCTCACCTTTCACCCAAGTCCTGTGAAATCCCTCTGTAGGTAGGTGGCTCCTTGCTGCTCCTTATCCTCCAGGATGTCACCTCTGCAGAGGTTCAAGTTTTGTAGGAGTTTGCATCCATGTGTTCATTTGGCTGCAGTTAGCTTGTAGCTTCATGTGGGATAAAGGGAACAGTTCATTTGAATTGCATCTTTTGACAGCCAGGTGGACTTCAAGCTTAGTGCTCTACCACTAACTTGTGTTCAGTGAAGAAGACTAATTTAGGGAGAAAATTTAAGCAGTGAATATTTGAAAAAATAAAAAAATCCTCATTTTAAGATATGTTTTAGGAAGATACATGGTTGTTTCCAAAAGCAGAATGGAAGATGAGCAGGGAAAATCAGGTGTGAGAGATGGTTTGGAAAAGTGTTTGTTTAGTGCAATTTGTTCCAAATAAGTCTCTTAAAGCCAGAGAAGGGCAGGAGCAGAGGGAGTGGACTGAAAATGGTTTGGTTTGGAGTGAGTGATTTCTGGCAGAAGTTGGATCTCTCGGAGCAGAAACAGACACTTCCCAAACCCCAGTGAGCTTGGCTTACTGTCTCCATCCAGGTCTGAGTGTGCTGCTGGTTTTGGATGTCAGTGTGCATGGAAAGCTGTGTCTGTGGGAACAAAACCAACTTGGAATGTCTTTATTTCTATTCCTGCAAATACCTTGCAGTGTTTTTCCTGCCTGGCCCTGTCATCCTTTACAAAAACAACAGCGAGGTGATTCCATGGGCCAGCACCCTGACATACAAAAGATCCTGGTAACAAGGGGATTAAATCAGCCAAACATTTGCTAATCCTGCTCCAGACACTCAGCTGTGTGTCATCACCTGTTCCAGCCCCTTGGAGTTCACACAGAGCCCTCAGGGGTGTTTATCTCTCACCACTCTGGTGATGCTGAACTGCCCTGGGCTGTTTCAGGTCTATAAACATAACTTGTCAAAATGGGGAATAGCTGAGTCTTTCTCTGATAGTTAAAGACAAATGGAATGCAGAACTCTGGGTGGTGGAAGTGGTACCAGCATTTGTAGCACTCCTTTCCCAAAACAAAATAAAAATCACTAATAAGTGTGAATCTAGGCTGTATTTCATTAAAAGTGAATTTCTGGTATATTCAGCAGCATAAAAATAGGAAAACTGAATTGCATGCTCAGTGTGTAGGTTGTATATTACAAAATCAATGTTATTTATGGTGCCTGAAGTGTTACATAAACACTAATTTTAACAAGTATATGGAGGGGGAACTTCCTTAGTTTTGTCCTGCTCAGCTGAGTGTTCCACACCCATTCAGAAATGCCAAATAGATGTGTTACCATGTAAAATTCTTCCAAAAAAACAGAAGCTGATCTTTAAGTGGGATAAGTCACTGAAGTATTATCCTACAATCAAGGAAGGTATAAATAATTTTCATGAACTGAGAATCTGTCTCCCCTCTCAGCTGCCTATTTTTTCCTTGGATATCTTCACAGACATTATCCTACTTGCTTTACCAAAGATACATTAAAGGCACACATTTCTTAAGTAAATATGTGGGAAGGGGCATTTGCACTGGAATTTAGGAAGAAGGCTGAGCGAAGTGCAAGTTTCTTGCTAGGGGAACAGAGTTTTATAGGGAATTTGGAAGGTGCTGTCTTGTCCCAAGTGCTGGTTTTAGGCTGTTTGTACAGGATGTGTGAAGTGGGACTGAAGCCAAAGAATTTAAGGGAAACAACAAGGAAAAATTGTTTTGTTAGAACTGAGATGCTCAAAGCAGTTTTGACAAGAAGCAACTTAATCCTGTTGATTAAGTTGACATGTTGAACTGTCATGGCAGATAATTTGAGTCTGGCCAAATTGTGACCCACAGGTTAGATAAACCCTTTTCTTATTTTTAATAAGAGTTCTAATTTGCATAAATAAGATATGCAGTCCCTTGCATATTTCTCTCTGATATTTGTTTTCCTTTCCTGCTTCCAGTTCTAGCCCTTGTTTGTGTAGGGAGATTGGTGAGTGCCTGGGACAATGAGATGGGGATTTGGCTTTGGCACGAGGTAATTGTGTGGGTAAGTTGTGTATCCTGGCAGCAGCCTGAGCTCCGTGTGTCCAGCTGGGCTCCAGAGGTGCCAGGTGTGTGGAGTGCTGGAAATGCCCCATCACCTCCAAACCTCTGCAGCCTTGCTCTATCAGCTCTGAGCTTTCTGAGAGAGCTGTCTTTGAGCTCACCTCCCAGCAGAGCTTCTGTGCTGAGCTCGTGTGCAGGTCTGGGCTGTCCCTGTGCCCCAGGGTGGGCACAGTGCCCCCTGCTCTGGTCATTCTACCAGCAGGTGGAGGTGACACCGCTGTAGCTGGCAGGGGCTGCTGCATTCCACCATCTGATTGCCTGTGCTGGTAAGGCATGCAAAAAACCAGCCATAAAATGGGTCTCTTCTCATAAACTGAGCCCACACCATCATTACTGGATTGACTTTTGAACCATCTCCTCCCTGGCTGTGTCCCGCAAGGAAGGAAGGTCTCTCCAGACCTCAGTTCTTGATTTGTGTAAAGCAAAGGCAGAATAAGTGAGTGTGAGTGGGTCTGGGGTATGTAGGGACACCAGGGGCTGGAAGCTGGGCTTTGGTGAGGCTGTGCTGCTCCAGGTTTCATGGTGAAGGTTTCATCCAGCTCTGCATGCCTGTCCCTGGCCTCCTGATGCCTTCCTGCCTGTAGACACCCAAACCTGTGCCCTGAGGGAATCCTGATTTACTCTGGTTTAACTTTACCCTTTTAGTCAATAAAGAAATATCATGATGGTGCTATAGTGCAGCATTGTTATATGTGGCAGAGAATGGAAAATATAACAAATAAGTGGCCCTGGTGGTATGTGCAAACGAGGAAGTGGTGTGTCAAGAAAGCTATTTTTACCACTGCTTTCTATAAAATGAACAGTGCAGAAAATAGTTCTAAGCTGAGTTAATTCTCAATTCTATTGAATAACTATTAATATTAAAACAAAGCTTCTGTTGCCCCCTGCTCCCCCCCTTTCTGTCCAGCCCTGTCACCCCAGGTGTGTCACTGGCCACGCTGTGTCCCCCCACTGCACCTTGCCCTGCCCCAGAAAGCCTCCAAGGGGCTGGCAAGGGACAGTGATGGGTGTGGGTTTCTCCTTTCTGAGAGCTGTGTGTGTACCTGTGCTCTGATCCCACCCCTGTTCTCTGCCCAGCCATTCTTGGGAGCAGATGGTTTCTCTAGAGCTGTGCTTGATATTTCAACAGCCTCAGCATTATAGGG